GAGGAAATTAAAACTTCATCAGAGTATACAAATTCCAACCACACAATAGAGTGAAAAACTAACGTCAAAGACCTGGGAGTGATCATGTTGGAGGATCTCACCTTCAAGGACCGTAACATTGTATCAATCGCATCTGCTAGAAAAATGACAGGATGGATAATGAGAACCTTTAAAACTAGGGATGCCAAGCCCATGATGACACTCTTCAGGTCGCTTGTTCTATCTAGGCTGGAATATTGCTGCACACTAACAGCACCTTTCAAGGCAGGTGAAATTGCTGGCCTAGAAAATGTACAAAGAACCTTCACGGCACGCATAACTGAGATAAAACACCTCAATTACTGGGAGTGCTTGAAGTTCCTGAACCTGTACTCCCTGGAATGCAGGAGGGAGAGATACATGATTATATACACCTGGAAAATCCTAGAGGGACTAGTACCACACTTGCACACGAAAATCACTCTCTACAAAAGCAAAAGATTCGGCAGACGATGCAACATCCCCCCAATGAAAAGCAGGGGTGTTCTCAGTAGTATTAGTTCCCAGTAGTACCAGTTACCAGTAGTATAGTATGACTCGCTACTAACCGTCTGCATGAATCACTGACTGTTATTCATGTTGCTTCTGACTATAGCATGTTTTTGAATGCGCTCACCCCTAGGACCCAGTTCGTGAGCCAGTCTTAAGATAGAGAGCAGAGAGGCAGGGCAGGCCTGGTGCTTCCCATATATTCTGTTATAATTATACTCCATTATTGTCTATGTGACTTTCCTTTACCCAATCCACGTAATCGAACCCCCACACATGACAAATTGGTGGCAGCGGTGGGATACAATGGGACAATAAGTTCGTTATACCCATCTTCTCACCTGGTAAGGCAATGCCTTTACGACGTTTGTTCAACAGAGTCAACAAACGCTTGACCTCGTCTGGGAGCTAAGTCTTTCTCCTCAACTGGTGGAATGGATTGATCCAGTGAAGTGGATGAGGTCTCCCTGACTCTCAGTAGTATCAGTTCCCAGTAGTACCAGTTACCAGTTACCAGTAGTATGACTCACTACCAACTGTCTGCGTGAATCACTGACTGTTATTCATGTTGCTGCTGACTATAGCATGTTTTTGAACGCCGCTCACTCCTAGGACCCAATTCGTGAGCCAGTCTTAAGATAGAGAGCAGAGAGGCAGGGCAGGCCTGGTGCTTCCCATATATTCCGTTATAATTGTACTCCATTATTGTCTATGTGACTTTACCCAATCCACATAATTGAACCCCCACACATGACAGTGTCACTAGCACATTAAGAGACAACACAGTAAGTGTCAGGGGCCCAAGTATTGTGGGGTTCGAAAGGAGATAACGAGGGTTGAAGATATACACACTTGTTGGATGGTAACACTGTATATTGTCAGACTGTGGTAAGGGAGCCCAACCTGCCGTGTGTAGACCTATGCGTGGACTGAGAGCGAGGTAGCTCATCCCACTCATGCTGCATCACGTGATGTCATACAGTCACTAGGCCTAGTAAGGGATCATCTATATAAAACATATGGCTGGTACTATGATATTCAGATAAGCTATACAACACATGTAAGGGGATCAGCAACTATGCTGACAGCTCGGTCGTGTTACGTATGTCGTCTCGACATACAATACTATGCTATAGGCTGAACAGGCAGGTGGTTCTGGGCTGATTCTATACAACAAAGACATATGTAACTTAGAACTAATGGATGGTATCATAATGGATGTTAACATAATGAGTTTTAACGTAATGGGTGTTAACGTAATGAGTTTTAACATAATGCATTACAAATTATAAGTACAAGTCATTTTATAATAAAGAATGGAATTGATCGATCGATCTGTATTCATGCACTCTACGGATTCTGAGGAAGAATAAATATATATACAAGGTGAAAGTAATTAACAGCAAAGGCAAATCTGGTGCACACAGATCATTACTGTTAAATTCTCAGAATTCGGAGGGAACGTGAACACGGAAAAAAAATTTGAAAACTGATCAGCTGATAACAAAACACACAGTTGAGAACTTCATTCATCTTGGACATCTAATTTTACAGACTATGTACATTTAAACCCAACTCTGCAAGGGTAAGATTTACATATGCAGAATGGTTATCATCTTTGGGTGGATCGAATTCTTCTGCGATGGCTAACACATGCCTTGACTGAGGACAATCTGAACGAGTATCTACAAAAGATACTTGTGGGTTTCTAATTACTTGTCGAGTACGCAAAGAATAATGACAGTCGGGTTGATTATCTGACTGAGTATTTGAGGTAGAGGGTACAGAGTCAAGAGGATTGTCAGCATCTGTCACATTAGTCTGGGTAGCAATATCATCAACATCGCATACTAATTTCATGTGATCTAAATGCGATTCTTTGTACTGACCAGTACTAATTTCTCTAACCTTATACTTATTGCCATTGATATGTTCAACAACTCGATAAGGGCCAACAATAACACTCAAGCGAGTACACTAGCCACAGAAACGTCTTTCTACAATGGCTTGTGGCATCAGCAAGAGATGGCATAACTCGTTGCAAATAAAGTTCTTCTCAAAGCGTCCCCTGGGAAGGAACGAATACTTGAACAAGTCGCCATCGCAAGGATAGTAGTCTCAGCACCCAGGGTTGTCTGAGGTTCCTCTGAAACCCAAGGTAACTGTACACTATCCTGCATGCACGATATTGTGGCTGGAGTCCAGACAGGAGTGACAGTATTACTAGTACCTGACCGCTCGGCTACATTAATAAGTAATTCACGGATCTATAGGAACTTAATCTGAACTTCACATTTCGCAGCACTTTAACAACTCTCAGATACAAGCTGTGAGAACAAACACATTGCTCAAGGGCTAGGTATTGTCTTCCAGTCAGTAAGGGAATATTGGAAGTGGACTGATTCATATTGACTTTGACTGGCATGATACACTAAGTGAACATTCAAAAGTGACTGGGACATCTTCTCAGGGAACTTACTCAAGGACACCTTCCATTGTAAACGTCTTGCCTGAGCCAGTCTGCCCATAGGCAAATAAGCACACATGGTACCTGTCTAGAGCAGACAGAGAGCTAGGATATTTCCTCAAATACTTGTGCCTGGGTACCATTTGGTCTGAAAACCCGATCATAAGAAAACTCAACGGTTCCGTTGCCACGTCCTTTGAGACCAGACGTTGTGCTTCCATTTGGATCTTATCCTCCAGCCCCTGCATTGTGGAGAAGATGTGCTTCACAGTCCTAGCAATCATGCCCTCTAGCTCTTCATTTTCAAGGACACCTTCCATTGTAAACGTCTTGCCTGAGCCAGTCTGCCCATAGGCAAATACGCACACATTGTACCCGTTAGAGCAGACAGAGAGCTGGGATATTTCCTCAAATACTTGTGCCTGGGTACCATTTGGTCTGAAAACCCGATCATAAGAAAACTCAACGGTACCGTTGCCACGTCCTTTGAGACCAGACATTGTGCTTCCATTTGGATCTTATCCTCCAGCCCCTGCATTGTGGAGAAGATTTGCTTCACAATCCTTCACTGTTCAACTGCCTCCCAGCATACATGAGGGGAATTACCAATACACCCCTGGCTGTCTTCAAGCAGGCATTGGACAAGCACCTAAAGTTGGTACCTGACCAGCCAGGCTGTGGTTTGTACGTTGGATTGTGTGCAGCCAGCAGTAACAGCCTGGTTGAGCAGGCCCTGATCCACCATGAGGCCTGGTCACAGACTGGGCCGAGGGGTCGTTGATCCCCGGAACTCTCTCCAAGCAAACTCCAGGTCTCCAGTGCTAAACCTTTAAGGGCTATACAGCGACTGGGACAATATGAGGCAATCAATTTTGATCCAATGAAAGTAAGAATAAGTTCAGATCCCAGGATCTAGAGCTGCTCACTGGCATTAAGGTGCCTCCATTTAGAAAAGGGATGGTTGCAGTTGCTCCCCAGCAACTACAACCATTCCTAAGAGACTGGGTAAGCTCATTAGACATGAGAGAAAGGTGCGAGACTCCCTGTGAGGAGTAGAAAGAAATTATGTTCTCCCTAACAGTAATTACAATTGACACAACAATGATGACATTCCTGGAAACTACCTCCTACCCTACCCAGTGTACCACTATGATGGCATCTCCAGAATTAATTGAGGAAGGCTTAGCAACCCCTCAAAGGCGGTTCCTTAATGTTGGTGAGGGGCTCTTGATCTAGGGAATTGGATCTCTGCTCCAGTTTCCTGAATTGAGCCTGAATGCCTTCCACCTCCCCCCCTACAGGTGCTGTATAATCCCTACAGGTTTAGCGCTCCCCCACGATAATTATTGTAATCAAAACCAAGTGCTAAACCCACAAGGGTCATACAGCACTGCCCCCATGATAATAATAAAGGCTTAGCAAGCCACTTAATCATACAAAGTATTATTCTTCTTTCTTTCAACAAACTGGCCGTATCCCACTGAGGCAGGGTGGCCCAAAAAGAAAATGAAAGCTTCTCTTTTTAAATTTAGTAATTTATACAAGAGAAGGGGTTACTAGCCCCTTGCTCCCGGCATTTTAGCCACCTCTTACAACACGCATGGCTTACGGAGGAAGAATTCTGTTCCACTTCTCCATGGGAATAAGAGGAAATAAACAAGAACAAGAACTAGAAAGAAAATAGCAGAAAACCCAGAGGGGTGTGTATATTTATGCTTGTACATGTATGTGTAGTGTGACCTAAGTGTAAGTAGAATTAGCAAGACGTACCTGAAATCTTGCATGTTTATGAGACAAAAAAGATACCAGCAAGCCTACCATCATGTAAAACAATTACAGGTTTCCGTTTTACACTCACTTGGCAGGACAGTAGTACCCCCCTGGGCGGTTGCTGTCTACCAACCTACTACCTAGAATACAAAGTATTAATGGTTTAATAATTACATTGTTAATAATGATTGCAGAGGGTGACCTGCAATGAAATCTTTGAATTGTATACTTTCAGTTCTCTCTCATGGCTCTGCAGGCATCCTTCAGTAGTACTTCCATCACCAGAACCTGCTGGATGACTACCCAACATCCTAAAAGTGGGCACCACAGTCACTCATCACGCCCCACGTTAGTCAAGTTTTCCTCAGGTAAAGCATCTACCATGACACCAGTACCCCCAGAAGGAACTCTAGAACAGAACCTGTGTAGTGTACCCTTATCATTCAACAAAGAGAAAAATTTAACGAAAGAACAAATATCACTGTCACTTACGCCAAAAAGAAGAGGGAATTATGGACGGGATTCACACTTGATTTGAGAAAAGGTTGCCAATTCCTTAGTAACTACTTCCGTTATACTCTCCACCCTTGCTAGTCTCTGATTAAGCATATTAAACCTTAGTACACCTTACCCTTCAGTGCTGTATGACACTTGTGGGTTTAGCACTTATGTAGTTGTGATTATAAGAATAATAATAATAATCTAATTCCTCAGATCAAGAGCCCTTCAATATCAATGTGCCATCCCCCTCCTTGAAAGACTTAGAATCTTAGCTTCCCGTTTTTTTGTGGAATATCAGTTTTGATTTACCTGCCTTTGTATCTGTTTTTAGTGTGTTGCCATTCGACCCAGTGCAATAGAAAATGAGCATTCACAGTAGAAAACAAAAGATGGGCTCAATGAGATAATTGCAACTGAAAAGTCCAAATTACTAGTACTATTCTGGGATATATTCACACTAGTTGTCATGCCTAGTGGTTCATCATATCCTAAACAAGCAGTTTTTCATTTTTCAAAACAATGTAATACTGACAGTATCTACCATATTAAAAGAGTAACACTCTAATTACCAGGGGAAAATTAAAAAAATAACTATATTCACATGTTTATTATACATTTGTATGGTACTAAAACATGGCTGAATGTGGCACTGGTGAGTGAAAACTTCTTTATAAACTTACTCTAAATTGAAACTAGAGTACAGTACAGTTGTAAGAGTCCAGCTCAATACTCTGGACAAAGACAGTGCTCCAGTGCTCTTATAGAAATATCCACAATATAATGGACATAAATATGTGATTGAAACTGCTGCTCATAATGCATGCAACAAATATCTTATTATTAAATGTGTCCCTGATTGCCATATCCCTACAAGTTTTAACATTTTTTCATAAATATTGTATGTATAACCAAATGCCATTCACATCATTGCAACCAAAGAACATACCAAAAATTTACTGTGAAGCAAATTACAGAATAGAAGCACAACATGGAAATTTGGCTAGAGGAAATTGCTATGGAAAACAATAGTGACACCATTACTTCTGTATGTCTGGTAATTTATTATTATTCCTACAATATACTTAATCCCATTTCTGAAGTGGAACATAATGCTGCTTATCTCACATTATTGTGATGACTTTTGAAGCCTGTATGTCAAATACAACAGCATTATAATTTATATAAATAATCCCTGGGAAAAAATAAATAGTACATCAATTTGGCCAATAAATTTACTTAAATTACCTTCATGAAGTGTATGTTAAACTATAAATATTATGACAAGATACTAAATAGAGTTGACTGACCATAGTACTGATAGAAAATAGCCTATCAAATTACAGTACGTACTTAATAACTTTCTTCAGATCTAATGTTCATGGAAGCAAAAGCAATTAAAACTGAACGTGTATTCAAAGAAGATTTATGGCATTGCAAGTGTCATGAAATGTGCTAACAGGGCTATACTAACATTTCATGCATTGGAATGACTTGTGGAAATGCAAAATGGTGTATGGTGCCTCACAGATGGGTGAAGTATTTTTCTTTAATAAGAGTTACTAATACGTATTAGATACACAGTATTGCAACTTTATAACCTCTTATATTATCAGAAGCATTATCAAATTCATAAAACCAATGTTGATAATCATAACCTCTTTAACCGTGTTCAAAAACAATAATGGAAATGTGATATGAAATTTTTATATACTGTACTTACAATCTTTGTTCCTAACATCACAGACAGTTTTGCTTAACGTATACCTATGCACCTCATAAACCACATCTTATTACATAACACTGCCTTTTGTGCTCATATTACAAGCACTAAAGGGCCATGTCCCTTTGACATTTACTTGTATTCATTATCTTGATATTTTCTTTGCAAATAGAATACATACTATATCAAACCTGACTGCTACCACAACCATTAACTATACGTATTTACTCTTATTGGTAGCAAATTTTCAGCTTTTAAATATGATGATTATCAGAGCTATTTGTGCTAATATAATATTTTGTAACTGCAGATGTTTCTGCTTAAAATGAAGGAATAAAAAGGTATTCCTGAGTCGTGAAACTTGAGCTTTAATACAGACGCAACATTATAATCATAGGTACTTGACTTTAAATTTTACTATTCACTTATATAACATTTTCTTTGAAATTAGAGAAATAGGCAGGGAAAGTGGCAGGGAGAGTGGTGGGAAGGTGGGGAATGTTGCAGGGAATAATGGTATGTACTTTCTACTAAACATATATAACTGTTAGGATTTGAAAAAAAAGGGAGCCTGAAGTTACTACAAGATGTAATTCATATACCTATCAACCTCAAACAATAGTTTCAATTAGGGTTGGCCTACATGGTACCTGGCCAGTATTTGGGCTTAGATTTTCTTTATTTTGTGAGCAGTTGTTGCTACGAGAAGTCTGCCCGCTCTTTTCTCCCCATTTTCCCTCGGATGATCCTTGGTTTGTCTTTTTTGGGGAAGCTGACTCATCACTATGAGAATGTGCCATGGCAGTGCTTGCACTAGCTGCAGGAGGATCTGGAGGTCGAACTTCATCTAACTGAGAAATTAAACTTCGTGTAGAGTCTGGAGAAGCCAAAGGTGCTGCCCTAAACATTGGTTTCCTGATTACCTCATCCTCTGGCTCCAGACAATCATCTTCTCGGTAGGTGCCCACAGTGTATGCTACTACTGTTGCATGGTCTAACTTGCCAGGCACCAAAGCCAACTTTTCACATACCTGCAAAACATAGAAAGCTCTGAATATGTGCACATGATTCACATTTCTGCAGCAGACATTTTCCTGGCTCATGGCACATTAAGTGATAAAGATCTTGTTCATGAAACATTGATTCTGTCAGAAAAGACTGAGAAAATTATACTCTTTATGTAGAATAAATCATATTTAACTAAACAAGAAATGGTGCAGGACTCTGTTATACAGCAGCTCTCAGTAATGTTTGTGTTTAAGAAACCTTCTCCATTATCTACAGTGGATGCTCAAGATTATTTTTTACTACCTAAGTGGCTATTTCCTGCTAAGTCAGGGTGACCCAAAGAAGAAAACACATTCATCATCATTCATTCATTCATTCGCTGTCTTGCAAGAAGTGTGTTGACATCACAATTCAGATTGCCCTCCAACTGCAACATCGCTAACCCTCTTCCGAGTGTAAGCACTGCCCTTCCCACCTTCATGACTAAAGTCTGGCTAACCAGTTCCAACAGCAGGCCCTTTAACCCGTAAACGGTCCAAACGTATATATACGTTTTTTCGACATTTGAAAGTACGTAAAAAAAGTAGATCTTCTTTTTGTTTTTCTACATTTGAAAATGTGTAAAAAAACTTTGATCTACTTTTTTTTTTGTTATATTTGAAAATATGTAAAAAACTTAGATCTACTTTTGTAGCATTACACATGTGAACGTAGATCTGCTTGGACCGTTTACGGGTTAAAACCACCTGTCCCTATTTGCTCTTATCTAACAAACTCACACAAGTCTACTGGATGCTTAAGCCCCTAAAACTGAAAGCCTCTTTTATACCTTCCCTCCATTCCTGGACAACCCCTACTTCTACCTTCCATTTATACACTCTCTTTAGTCATCCTATCCCTCTCCATCCTTTCTACATGCCCAGACAACCTCAACAACCCCTCCTCTGCCCTTTGAATTATACAGTTAGTGACCCAACATTGCCTATTAATTTCTAAGCTCCAAATTCTATGTATGATAGTCATTCCACATACATATTGCTTAGAAACATGACATCTCCACTGCCTCTAGCCTCATTCTCATGGCAGTATTCAAAACCTATGCCTCACACCCATATACTCTGGTACATTCCCTTTTTTGCCTCCATATATAAACTTTCTTTCCACATATGCTTCAAGAGAAGATTATCAGGAGGAGAGTGGTGGAGCACCTGGAACGGAACAAGAGTATAAATGCCAACCAGCACAGATTTATGGAAGGCAAATCCTGTGTCATAAACCTTCTGGAGTTTTATGATAAAGACAGAAGTAAGACACATGAGAGAGGGGTGGGTTGATTGCATCTTTTTGGACTGCAAAAAGGCCTTTGACACAGTTCCTCACAAGAGATTAGTGCAGAAGCTAGAGGATCAGGCGCACATAACAGGAAGGGCACTGCAATGGATCAGAGAATTCCTGACAGGGAGGCAACAACGAGTTATGGTACGTGATGAGGTATCACAGTGGGCACCTGTGATGAACGGGGTCCCACAGGGGTCGATCCTAGGACCAGTGCTATTTTTGGTATATGTGAATGACATAATGGAAGGGTCAGACTCAGAAGTGTCCTTGTTTGCAGATGATCTGAAGTTAATGAGGAGAATTAAATCAGATGAGGGTCAGGCAGGACTTCAAAGAGACCTGGACAGACTGGACACCTGGTCCAGCAACTGGCTTCTCGAATTTAACCCTGCCAAATGCAAAGTCATGAAGATCGAGGAAGGGCACAGAAGACAGCAGACAGAGTATAAGCTAGGTGGCCAAAGACTGCAAACCTCGCTCAAGGAAAAAGATCTTGGGGTGAGTATAACACTGAACACGTCTCCAGAAGCACACATCAACCAGATAACTGCTGCAGCATGTGGGCGCCTGGCAAACCTGAGAACAGCATTCTGATACCTTAGTAAGGAATCGTTCAAGACACTCTACACCGTGTATGTCAGGCCCATACTGGAGTATGCAGCACCTGTTTGGAACCCACACTTGATCAAGCACATCAAGAAATTAGAGAAAGTGCAAAGGTTTGTGACAAGGTTAGTTCCAAAGCTAAGGGGAATGTCCTATCTGGAGTTTATCTGGAGAGAGTTCCGGGGGTCAACGCCCCCGCGGCCCGGTCTGTGACCAGGCCTCCTTAGGTCAGTGTCCCAGGATGCGACCCACACCAGTCGACTAACACCCAGGTACCCATTTTACTGATGGGGAACATAGACAACAGGTAGAAACACGTCCAATGTTTCTACTCTGGCTGGGAATCGAACCCAGGCCCTCACCGTGTGAAGCGAGAGCGTTAACCACCAGGCCACCAGAGCCACTGAAGAAAGGTTAAGGGAAATTGGACTGACGACACTGGAGGACAGGAAGGTTAGGGGAGACATGATAACTACATACAAAATACTGTGTGGAATAGACAAGATGGACAGAGACAGGATGTTCTAAAGAGGGGACACAGAAACAAGGGGTCACAATTGGAAGTTGAAGACCCAGATGAGTCAAAGGGATTTTTTTTTTTTAACAAGTTGTCTGTCTCCCACCGAGGCACGGTGACCCAAAAAGAAAGAAAATCCCCAAAAAGAAAATACTTTCATCATTATTCAACACTTTCACCTCACTCACACATAATCACTGTTTCTGCAGAGGTGTTCAGAACACAACAGCCTAGAAGCATATAGTACGTATGAAGATACACAACATATCCCTCCAAACTGCCAATATTCCGAACCCCTCCTTTAGAGTTCAGGCATTGTACTTCCCATTTCCAGGACTCAAGTCCGTCTATAAAAATAACCGGTTTCCCTGAATCCCTTCACCAAACATTACCCTGCTCACACTCCAACAGATCGTCAGGTCCCAAATACCATTCGTCTCCATTCACTCCTATCGAACACGCTCACGCACGCCTGCTGGAAGTCCAAGCCCCTCGCCCGCAAAACCTCCCTTACCCCTTCCTTCCAACCTTTTCGAGGACGACCCCTACCCCGCCTTCCTTCCCCTACAGATTTAAACACTCTCCATGTCATTCTACTTTGATCCATTCTCTCTAAATGACCAAAACCACCCCCACAACCGCTCTTCAGCCCTCTGACTAATACTTTTACTAACTTCACACCTTCTCCTAATTTCCACACTCCGAATTTTCTGCGTAATATTCAGAGGCGTCGCTAGAGTTGGTGTCACCCGGGGCAGAATCTCTGGTGTCACCCGGGGCAGCATCTTTGGTGTCACCCCTATGAAATTCAAGGGCAGGGGTATGGGGTGGTAAATTCCAGTTAGGTCACTACTGCATGACCAGTCAGTGACTAATGTTTATCAATGAGAACGTTTAAGGGCCATAAACCGAACAGAAGAATACTTCTCAACTTTATTTTTATTTTTTTTATTATCACACTGGCCGATTCCCACCAAGGCAGGGTGGCCCGAAAAAGAAAAACTTTAACCATCATTCACTCCATCACTGTCTTGCCAGAAGGGTGCTTTACACTACAATTTTTAAACTGCAACAGTAACACCCCTCCTTCAGAGTGCAGGCACTCTCCAGGACTTAAGTCCGGCCTGCCGGTTTCCCTGAACCCTTTCATAAATGTTACTTTGCTCACACTCCAACAGCACGTCAAGTATTAAAAACCATTTGTCTCCATTCACTCCTATCAAACACGCTCACGCATGCCTGCTGAAAGTCCAAGCCCCTCGAACACAAAACCTCCTTTACCCCCTCCCTCCAACCTTTCCTAGGCCGACCCCTACCCCGCCTTCCTTCCACTACAGACTGATACACTCTTGAAGTCACTCTGTTTTTGCTCCATCTCTCTACATGTCCGAACCACCTCAAACACCCTTCCTCAGCCCTCTGGACAAACAGTTTTGGTAATCCCGCACCTCCTCCTAACTTCCAAACTACGAATTCTCTGCATTATATTCACACCACACATTGCCCTCAGACATGACATCTCCACTGCCTCCAGCCTTCTCCTCCTGCAACATTCATCACCCATGCTTCACACCCATATAAGAGCGTTGGTAAAACCATACTCTCATACATTCCCCTCTTTGCCTCCAAGGACAAAGTTCTTTGTCTCCACAGACTCCGAAGTGCACCACTCACCCTTTTCCCCTCATCAATTCTATGATTCACCTCATCTTTCATAGACCCATCCGCTGACACGTCCACTCCCAAATATCTGAATACATTCACCTCCTCCATACTCTCTCCCTCCAATCTGATATCCAATCTTTCATCACCTAATCATTTTGTTATCCTCATAGCCTTACTCTTTCCTGTATTCACTTTTAATTTTCTTCTTTTGCACACCCTACCAAATTCATCCACCAATCTCTGCAACTTCTCTTCAGAATCTCCCAAGAGCACAGTGTCATCAGCAAAGAGCAACTGTGACAACTCCCATAATGATACAATAAATAATCATAGTGTGTACGAATGGTATATAATACCGACAAGATGAGAGTAAGACACATGTGCAACATCTGGGTATCTTTATTGTAGACGTTTCGCCATCCAGTGGCTTTATCAATACAAATTCTAGGACATAACTTGAAGACAGTAGAACTATGTACAGAAGATGAGGTAATCAGTCCCTCAACCTAGGAGTAGGTGCGAACAGCACCATAGTCGTGGAGATTCTGAAGCAGAAGAAAGAATCCTGGCGCTTATATAGTAACGTCAGGTGTAGCAGACGAGGGCATATTCACTGGTAGGCGGGATTCCCCAGTGGAAGTAGGTCCTTCCCAAAGAGATGGGTTAGTTGTAGTAGTAGTTGACGTAGTCGTGAAGGTTATGTACATGTCCTCAGAATTATGATTCCATGATGTTGCAGTGTCTGACAAGTTGTGTTCGAATGGTATATAATACCGACAAGATGAGAGTAAGACACATGTGCAACCTCTGGGTAATCTTTATTTGTAACGTTTCGCCTGACACACTGCAACATCATGGAATCTTAATTCTGAGGACATGTACATAACCTTCAACGAC